TGGTGCCTTGATGAAAACTACTAATTTTGCTATTTATAAGTAGAGAAAAGAGTAAGCCATGTTAGTAGTATCAGATCAAATAAGAGTCAAAATTGTCCAGTAAGTAGAATAACTTTCTATGCTGTAGTATGGGTTTATTGATTAGTTTCCTTTATTGCTTAAATCTTAAAATATTTAATGTCTAATTGAAAGTCACTAGGAAAAAAACTTAAAGCTAGGGAAAAGAAAAATATTCTAAGTCTAAATAGGAATTCCTTCTACTAATTAACATATTTTCTATTTTAGCAGCTGAAGACACTGTGTGACACTTTGATCTGTAGCCTAAGAATCAAGAAGTGGTCTAGAAGTTGAATCCAGGGCTATAAGATTGATTAAGAGCAATAGTCTTAAAGCACTTAAAAATACTAATTGTGGTGGTGGTGGTGTTTTCCAGCCTTTCTGGCACTACGTTTTATAATATTCATCTTTCCTATTGTGTGATGAGGCACACACTACATGTATTGCATTATACAAAACTGAAAATAAAAGAGCTGAGGCTTTATTGCTAAGGGGTTTATTTAATTTTTTAAAAAACCTTTTAAGTCACTCATAGGTATGCAGTAGTGATATGAAATTAAGCACTGAAGAGTAGATAAGGAAAGTATAAGGTTTCAAAGTAGCTTAAGCTCTGTATTAAAAACTGAGTAGTTCCTCATATATTGTTTTTGAAAAATTAAACCCTTAAGTGAAATAAAAGTTACAAAAATATATTGAGAAAATAATTGGTAGTGAATAACTTTAAAATGAAAATTTACTAACATTTTAAAATGGAAAGTGTTAATAAACTATTAATAAAATTAATAAGCAAGAAAACTTGAAGGAATTGTTAACCTAATCCTGACTTTATGCAAAGTTCCAGGCACCATTTTCAGTACATTCAGTAGTTTTTCTTGGATACCGGCAATCTATACTTCTTTTAAAAATTGATTTGAAAAAGAGAAGGAAACAGATTTTTCATTCCACCCATTTATTAATTCATTGGTTGTTTTGTGTATGTTCTCTGGCCAGGGATTGAACCCACAACATTGGTAAATTGGGATGATGCTCTAATCACCTGAGCTAGCTGGCTAGGGCCTAACCCTGTACTTTTTAATTGGAAATGATTAAGGTGCTTGGTTTAAAAGTTCTTACCACAGGAATCAGTGCTTTTTGTGTGTGTGTGATTGACAAAAATTAAGCAGCTACCTTTCTAAATGATGCTTCTTTGAAATTACTAACTGAACAATTCATGCCCTTTATGATTGACACAGTTAGGGCATTTTTACTGTCACCGGTATTGTTGGTTGCTTCCTTAAACACATTTGGTATATTTTCATAAGAATAAGTTAAATCAAGGATGTTTGACATTGATAAAATATTTGGGGAATCTGAAAATTTTCTTTACTCTTTGTGTTTTTTAATTCAAAAGGGAGAGTGCTGTTAAGAAACAATAGTTTTCTGGCTGGTGCTTGTAAGTTTTTATGTGAAAGGGGTTAATGTCAGCATGAAGGTGTTTCCATGAGTGTCTCTACAAATTTTATTGTTTTGTCACCTTAAAATTAGTTGTTTTAAAGAAGTAATTCACACACTAAAGAGCATAGCTAAAGATCCAACATCTAGATACGGAAAAACCATTTGTTTTTGCTCTTCATGAACTTTATGAGTGTGTTAAGCTTTGTTTTCTGAAATATTTTAGTATTCCATTTTTTAAATTGGAGACGACCTAGTAAAGAATGAGATAGCTAACTATTCATGAATTGGGAGGATTGAATATTACTAACTCAAAGTTAATTCTTAACCACACATACAAATATTTGTTCAGATGTGGAATATGAAGCTACCATATTTAGTAGCATTTACAATTAGTCCATAAACTAGCTTTAAATTCTAGGTTAATTATTTAATAGAATTGTCTATAAAAGTGAGTTTTAAGCTTGTTTGTTAAGAATTTGATCTGGCTGGTGTGACTCTGGATTGAGCACCAGTCTGCAAACCACTGGATTGCAGATTCAATTCCCAGTCAGGGCACATGCCTGGGTTGCAGAGCATGTCCCCCCAGTAGGGGGTGTGCAGGAGACCACCACACATTGACGTTTCTCTCTCCCTTCCCCTTTATTTTTATTATAAAAATAAAATCTTTTTTAAAAATTAAGAATATGAGTATGTACCCTGGCTGCTGTGGTCTGGTTGAATGAGTGCTGGCTTGCAAACCAAAAGGTGGCTGGTTCTATTCCAGATCAGGACACATACCTGGGTTGCATGCCAGGTCCTCAGTTAAGAGGTGTGCAAGAAGCAGCTTATGGATGTTTCTCTTGCACATTGATGTTTCTCTCTCTCTCTCTTTCTCCCTCACTTTCCCTCTTTCTACAAATAAATTAAAATTTAAAAGGAAAAATGAATTTGAGTATTGTAGTAAATGGCATTTGTGAAGCCTAATTACGGATAATGTTTTTTAATGTTCTTTTTTGTAAGTGCAAGGTTCTAAAATGGGTAAATAAGGTTTTGACATTACATTTCAGAATTCTCTTCAAGGATCTATTTTTCAAACTTATTAATCTTTAGTGTACTATGAAAAGGCAGTTTTATTATGGGGGGGATTTACAGTAAAAGAAGCTGCTCTCTTAAAAGTCTTTACTAAACATCCAGTATCGTGCTAACTTTAATAGGTGGTAGCTTTTGCTTAAATGAGCCTTTTAAAACAGCTTGTCTTGTGTTTACCATTGATCAAAGATGCTAAAGGAATTCTTTTTATAAAAGCTTTTTAAACAGTGTTGTCATGTCTGATTTCTCTTAGTTTCTTTGTTCTAATAATAAAAAAATAAGACTTGTTTAATTATGTGTGTTTCAAGGGTCTGGGTTGATTTTTCAGTAATATTACTCTCATGTCATAGTGTGGGGATGTATTTAAGTTGAAACTCTGAGTAAAAAGTATTTAAGGTTATTAATGAAATTGCAAGTTGTCATGGAATTTACATTTTTTGTCTGGCCCCTTTTCTGACATCCATTTTCTGTTTTAAGGCTATCTTCTACCTTCTCTTAACCTTTTCTTTTTTGCAGACCCATTGTTTTCATTCTATCTTACAAAGAAAAGTAATTGAGATCTCTAATCTAACAAGCATTTTCTTAAAATGGGATGAATTTAAAAGTTTTACGCATGGTCATAATACTATCGTATAATTTCCCTGAGGGAAAAAGAATAGTTCTTTTTTAAAAAACTGGCTTTTCAATAATACAAAGTTTTGACTATTACATGAAGAGCAAACCTGCAATGAATGACATTGGTACTTTGAAATACTGATTTTGAAAACCCTGTAAAAGTTTTGATCTTTTACAATAAAGTGTACATGATAATTTAGAAGGCCCTACCAATGTTTTTACGCAGTATTTCAAATGCTTTTCTGTATGGCATTTACAAGACATATCAAAGAAACTTTCATCCAAAGAAGTCCACTTACTCTTGTCTTTATTTTTGTTAATCTTATCTAAAGTGTATGTAGTTTATATAGTGGATCTCATCCAGAACTAGTTTCTTTGATGTCCTTTCTCAAGTTCATCTTTCTTGGTATGCAAAAACATCTGTAATTCAGTCACCTCTGATAGCATTTCTGTGTCTTTTTAACTTTTTTACATCTTTTTGTAAAATGTAGTCCTGCCTGTAACCTTTTTTGAAAAGTGCTTTCTCTACCACTGTATTTGTTCAGTGTTTCCTCACTTTATTCTGTCACTGGTGGGATTGATTCCATAATAGACATAGCTATTGACTATTGCTTGTTTTTACTAATAAAGTTAATGATCAAACATAAAACTTGACTAAACAAAGCCTTCACGTAGAATTCCACAGCAAACAATTCAACTTCTGTATGTAGTTGTGATTATAAAAAATTGTTGTCATTAAGGCCATTTTTTGTGTACATCATTTAATAATTTTATGAGAATCGTGCATACTTTGCAAATTCCTACCTAACTTTCTGAGGTGAAAATAAGAAAGAAAATGAAAATAATTTCATCTAGAAACACAACTTGGGTGATTGTATTCAGAATTTATACTTTTCAGTTGATTATGGCTATTCTTGGGGAAAGTTTTCAGAAGTCTACACAAGCAAGATCTTGTTTTCATTTTTCACCTGTTTTGAGCTCTAGAGGTGCTGAAGCCCTGAGCATTAAGTGTTGGTGGATGCTAATTTGGGGAGTTTCACTTCTTTAAATCACCTACACTTTCTGTATTTGGGGTTTTTTTCTTGGGAGGTCTCTTATTTCTATACTCACCGTACTTGGTTCTTACCTTTTATGATTAGAAATGAAATAAGCACTGCCTAACATAGGGTAGACAGTGAGAAGGCAGTTAGTTATATGGTCTAAATTTGTGCAGCAATCCTTGACCTGTAGGAAGTCACTTAATTTTCTTCACATCTGTCTTCACCTCAAATTGATTTTGCTATATAAAGATCTCAGCTATTGCGTTTGGTCTTAGATCTTATACTAGGTACTTGACACCTAAACTTCACTTGTGATTTTACTTGGTTCTTTCTGATACTTATAATAGGTCTCATTTTCTAAAGCAGAATACAACTAATTCATCTTTGACTTGTTGACATTGATTTTTGTTTTGTTTTGTTTTTAGTCTTCTGGAACTTAAGCATCATACTATAGGGTGTATTTTTATTCTTCTGAAAGAAGCGTCCCATCTATATTTTTACCAAAATTTTGATGTACTCAGACATCTAACCCTTCAATTGAAATGTTTTTAAATTTAGTATGAAATTCCCTTTAACAGTAAAACTCTAGCATGAAAGACTACTTTTTAAATATATGCAGGCTCTGCATACATCTGGAATCTGTTTAAGACATATAATAAATTCCTTGTTAAGTTTGAGATCTTGAATGTTTTTTTTTTTTAATCAACATGATGCATAAGTTTTTTTCTTTAAAAAACGGCATCTACTTAAAGGGATTTATGACTAAAATTGCTTATTTTTCTACAGAGTTGTCTGCTGGTTCTCAGCTTGAAGAAGATTCTACAGTCCTTATTGATCCTTTTTCTTGGCGTTACCATTTTTTGAAGCACAGTTAACCTAGTTTTCTAGTTTGAGCTTTCTTTTTGGCCATCTTTAAAAAATTTTTTTAATCTATAAGCTAGACGAGAGATAGTTCTACAATGTCCAAGTCATTCCAGCAGTCATCTCTCGGTAGGGACGCGCAGAGTCATGGGCGTGACCTGTCTGCAGCAGGAATAGGCCTTCTTGCTGCTGCTACCCAGTCTTTAAGTATGCCAGCATCTCTTGGAAGGATGAACCAGGGTACTGCACGCCTTGCTAGTTTAATGAATCTTGGAATGAGTTCTTCATTGAATCAACAAGGAGCTCATAGTGCACTGTCTTCTGCTAGTACTTCTTCCCATAATTTGCAGTCTATATTTAACATTGGAAGTAGAGGTCCACTCCCTTTGTCTTCTCAACACCGTGGAGATGCAGACCAGGCCAGTAACATTTTGGCCAGCTTTGGTTTGTCTGCTAGAGACTTAGATGAACTGAGTCGTTATCCAGAGGACAAGATTACTCCTGAGAATTTGCCCCAAATCCTTCTACAACTTAAAAGGAGGAGAACTGAAGAAGGCCCTACATTGAGTTATGGTAGAGATGGCAGATCTGCTACACGGGAGCCACCATACAGAGTACCTAGGGATGATTGGGAAGATAAAAGGCACTTTAGAAGAGATAGTTTTGATGATCGTGGTCCTAGTCTCAACCCAGTGCTTGATTATGACCATGGAAGTCGTTCTCAAGAATCTGGTTATTATGACAGAATGGATTATGAAGATGACAGATTAAGAGATGGAGAAAGGTGTAGGGATGATTCCTTTTTTGGCGAGACTTCGCATAACTATCATAAATTTGACAGTGAGTATGAGAGAATGGGACGTGGTCCTGGCCCCTTACAAGAGAGATCTCTCTTTGAGAAAAAGAGGGGCGCTCCTCCAAGTAGCAATATTGAAGACTTCCATGGACTCTTACCGAAGGGTTATCCCCATCTGTGCTCTATATGTGACTTGCCAGTTCATTCTAATAAGGTGAGTTAATGCAACAGATGCTTCTAATTTCTTTTACATTGTAGTGTCTATTCTGTATTTACCTATATCTTTTACTTTAATTCTGTAGTCTGGTGACGCTGAGTTGATCAAGAATTTTTATACTTTTGAGAACACTTTATTTGGAAGCTTAATTGTTTTTTGAACATTTAAACCAGGGCTTTACATTAATACAATCTGCCTAGATTACTTCTGGCCACAAAGCTGTCATCCACTGGGATTATCTTGTTGGTTTTTGGCATCAGTATATTCTTCTTAATCATATTTAAGCAGTCTTTTTTTTTTTTTGTCTGCTTTGTTGAATTGTTTTAAGCATTTTTGTTTTTTTGCAGTCAATGCACTCTGCCATTCAGGATGCTAGATTTTAGCTCTCCATCTGTCTTGATTGCTGATTTGTATGTAGTAAAGATGGATTCTTGAACAATTCTCTTTTTTTCTTTATCTGTGGCTACAGGGAAAGAGTTAATGTAGAGCCCTGGTGTGTGTTTCAGTATGTTTTATATTTTAAATTAGTTCATTCTTCCTTTTTTAATTTCCCTTTAACACAAATTCTCATGCTATGACTGGAGTTTTTCATCATTTTTTTTTCTCCTTTTCCACAACTTTCTTAAACATACTTCAGAACTCACTTTTTATTATCACATGCTGCATCTATCCCTTTAGAGACTTAGAAAAAATCAACTACTGCAGTATTCTGCTCTATGTTCCTCATAAGCATAGTCTTTTTCTGACTTAGGCTTAGACTTCTGGTATAGTCATTTGAGCAAAAAAGTAAATAAATAAAGGTATATCAAATTCTCCTTTGCTTTAATGATCACATCTGGCAAAATGGGAACTTTTTCAAAATGCCCTTTTCAATATGTTGTCTTTTTCTCTTGCAACGTTGCTATTTTACTTAATTCTCTGATTTTTTTCAATATATAGTGCAGTTGACTTAAAAGTCAGCATTATAGCACTCTACTAGCTTGATCTATAATCTGACCATCCGTTTTTCCTGATGTGCTGCATAGTTAATTCTGTTTAATGGGAACATGTTGCTGCCATGAAATTGATAGTTATTGTTACATGGGCTTTTTAATTTACAGTAACATCTGGAAAGGTCATTTTCTTATTCCTCTTAAATGGAATTTTTAGCGAGTATTGTTTTTTTGAGTAAACTAAATAAATTAATATTAGAGACTGTAATCTGTATCTTAGTATTTTTGTCTCAGATAATTAAGAGACTGTTTGAATTTAGAGTACTTTAAAAATGTCTTTTAAACATAATTCTTAATATGTACTTATTTACAAAAATCTTAATGTATAGTATTAAGTACTATACAAGGAATATTTTAATCTTTATTTCATACCAAAATCAGTATCATTAACTACTAAATTTAAGTTCATAGGTTTTCATTTAAGACAATCCAAAAGTCATAGAAATTTGGAAATTTTGTGTGGCAGGTGTTTTGATGTTGTCTTTTTCAGATTTGTTGGATAATACTATGTATGTCATGGAATTTAGTTTTCAGTACTAAATTTCAAGTTCTAGATCTGATGGGAGCTGATTTATCAAAGAGGTTCATTAAACTTGTGTGACTCAGTATTTTTGTTAACTTCTTGCCTCTTTGCAGTAATTGCAATATTGATCGATGTTTTCAGGTAGGAGCTCTAAATTCCAAGGAAAATGACTAAAGTGTCTCAAATGAAAGTGATTGTAGGGATTTAAAATCTTTGTTACTAGAGTCATAAACCAAAACCCATTGTTAGAAGTCCCCTTTTCCTGACTTTGAGCAGTAATTTAACCTTGTTACTTGCATATAGAAAACAATTGAGTAAAGGAACAAAAAAGGAAGCCATGGGAGGACTTGAATCAAAAAAAATTTTTATTTTATATATATGATTAATTTCTCTCCAAATTTTACTACTACTAGTTCCTGTGCAGTGATATTAATATATGATAGTAAATAGATCTAAATTAACATAGAACAGTTTTAAAATTTCAATGAAACTTTGAGTTCAAGAGTAAGGTACCGTAACTCTAGTGCAAGAGGAGAGGTACTTTGAACTTGTAAAAATGCTTAGGCCCTAGCTATTTTGGTTTTCTTAGTATTGGGAATATTTAAGAACTAGTTTGTAGAGGCCCTTTGATTCTTTTATTTACAAAATTTATAATTAGTTGTAAATTGGACCAATTTTAAGAAGTGTAAGCACCTGGATTGATTCTCAATATATTTTGGTGTCCTTAATATAACTGATGTTTCCTGGGTACCTGCATTATTGGAAAAAATAATTAAATATTCACATTTAGCAGTGGTCCTTACTTATTTGATAGCTGATATAGGAACAACTTCAGAGAAAATTCCTATGGTGAAAGTAGCTAATGAAAAAAATTTTTAACATTTAATCCTGCTCTCTGGTATTGCTGCATAACTTGGAAAATCTGTTCTTTTCACTTAGTGGTAGCATTAAATAAAGTACATGATCAAAACTTAGTAAAATGAAATGAGAAACTTTTAGGTGAAAAACATCCTAATTAGTCATCATTATTTTTGCTATTTTAAGTGACTTTCAGTGATGGTGTTGCTTTTCTTTCTTTCTAGGTCATTTTAGAATGTCACGTTGCTTTTCTACGCAACCTCAAATTCTTTCACTTAAAGAAAGCTGCCCTTTCGCTGTCTTGTCACTTGAGTTCATAGTTTTCCTTTTAGTATTACTAGAAGACATGTTATTCTTTATTCTGCCATTCCAGAATTGCTTCTCCAAATTATCCTTCTTTATATAACTGTTTTCTTACAGAGCTTTTGCATTCAGACCATAAATCCTTGTTCTTTATTAATCTGATGGAAGAATTACCTCAATGTAGAATCCAAAGATAGGGGTTTTCAAAAATCCCTTTGATTCTTAATCTTCACTCTAAACCAAACAGTAAAAGATCAGATGTGGTAATACAGATTAGTTTGGGTGGGCTTGGGAGATTTGTAACTGATTCTTTCATCTTGGCCATCCTTCTGGTACGTCAGTATTTACAAAGATCAGCCACACTTAGCATAACTTTGAACCTTTAAAGGGCATGGGGGATTGGATATTAATAATTTCTGTTCAACTAGAGACCCTTGCCATCTCCTATGAGTTAGAGAAGCATGCCTTAATAGGCTATTTTACTCCTCTCCCAACATACTACTTTTCAAGAATGGTTTTAGTTCAGAAAATTCTAAATTAACTTGTTTAATCCCTGTTCTGGATTTTGTGAACTTTACCTATGGTGCCCCTTCCTTACAGCCATTTTAAAAATGGTCTCCAACAAGTCAGTAGTCTTTTACTTTACAAGTAAAATCTTTTTATGTCCCAAATATCTGGATGTAGAGCCAGCTGGACAGATTTCTTTGAATTTCTTCTTAATTAATAGCCATTATTTTCAAAAGACAACCTAGATTTGAGAGCTAGATCTTCAAGTTCTGAGAATTTCTATTCTGTGTGGATGTATTTTATCTTAGTGCTCTCACAGGATTTTAGTTAATTGTCTTACGTCATGGGAATGTATATAAACTTGTAATATAAAGCAGTTTTTTTAATTAGGATCCCATTTATAAATATAAATCTAAAGCTTTTCCAAAAGGCATCTCTTGTAATACAGTTCCTTTTAATTCAGCTCTAAGTGAGACCCTTTTTAAAAACATTGCTTGACCATGTCTTATATTCCAAATATAATTGTATTAGGTAGTGTGGGTGTTGCAAAAGTTGTTGCCTCATTTTGTGGGGATTTATGAAACAATAATACTTAAAAAGCAGGAATCGTAAAACAAAGTTTTTATAAGCAGTGTAATAAATAGTTCACTTTTTGAGCACTTTCCATGTGCTTGGCACTGTTTGATAAGCAGTTTTGCCTTTCATTACTTACTTTTTATAAAACCAAAGGAGAATACTGAATCACAGTGAATTTATTTTGTACCAGGGATTCACATCTAGCAAGTAAGTGAAACCTTGGAAGTGGAATCCAGGCAGTGTGCAGCACAGCCTACTTTTCGTAACAGCTTTTTTTTTTTATGTTACCTAAAACATCAATCATTTATACATAAAATAGGAAAAATATTAATCCCATTAAATTTATAAGATAACCAAAAGCAAATACTGACTACGGTGTTTCCTTCATTAAAAGTTAGAAACAGGCATTAAAATCTGCTTCTTTATTTTTGCTAAATACAATGGGGGGCTTAATTTTTGGATAAATGAGGAACATTTTCTTAGAAAAACCATTTCTGTTTAATCATCTTAGCTTTTTATATCTGTAGCATACTTGGATCATACCTCAAAGGCTGGATAAAATTAATGCTTATATCTTTACTTGTTTACATTTAAAGCATCTTATTTCCTAGAAAAGTAGATATAAGCATGACTATTTGTCATATTTAGAATGCTAAAAAAAAGCATTTCTTAAATGACATGAATAATTTGGTCTACAACAAATTAATGTCTCGCTGATCTCAAGGTCAGTTACTATTCTTGATCTTTATTAATAACTCTGTATCTTTTCCCTGTCAAGTCTATTAGTATATTAACCAAATTCATCCAGTTTTTCCAAGAATGTGCTTGGCGTATTTGAGGGCAGGATCAAGATACATGGCTTCGGAGAAATGGTTTTAAATTCAGTATGGTTAGTGAATGTGCAGGTGTTTGTACAGGTTATGATATTGCATGTAGGTTAACATCCTAAGAGTTTGAATGGTTCAAATGAAAATATTTTAGCTTTATTTTTGTTAATTCTACTAATTTACTTTGCTGCAGGAGTGGAGTCAACATATCAATGGAGCAAGTCACAGTCGTCGATGCCAGCTTCTTCTTGAAATGTAGGAGTTTGAAATACCTTTAAAGCATCCTTAATCCTGAATCAGAAACACCCATTGATTGATGTTTGGAAGTTGGTTATTTACTTGTAATATTCACGTTGTTATTACTGCATAGTTGATACTGTCCAGGCAATGCTAGTTACAAGGGATCTTTAATGGAATCAGTTAGATTTCAGTGATAGTGGTACTTTGTTACTTAATGTTTCTATAGTAAATTATCATCAGTCTTTTTTAATACAAACCAAGAGAATTTTTAAGATAGCTTTTGATACATAGAATATTTTCAACAGCTGTAATACATACTCAAAAAATGCTGAATATACAAAACAGGGAATTTGTTAGCATTTACAAATTAGTTGTTAAGCAAAAGCCTTCAGGGTGTATTTTTTTTTGTTTTGCAATACCTTTGTTTCTGATTTTAAGCTAGAATGAAATTGAATTCCTGAAGAAGCTCCCTACCTAAGCAGCACACACAATATCCATTATCCTGGAATATATACCAGCACGTTTTCATATATACCTAGCTCTTTTGGGGCTGTCCTTTCCATTGTGCTCTTGGTACTTAAAATGGAGAAGAAAACCTGTGGTTGGTCCTTCTTTCTCCATATAGCCCATACTTCCAATTCCTCAGATAATACGTGTCCTACCTAAGACTTAACAAATAACAGAAAACTTTAATTTTAGCATTAACTACCTACATTTTCCAAGCAGTACAGAACAAGGGGCTTTTTTGGTTTGTTTTGTTTTTGTTCATTTGGATTAATTTGAAGTTTTGGAATTTTTCTTTGGGAAATATCTATATATGGCATGTTTAAACTGTAATATTTCTAACACTTAGACTTTCATACAACTTTACTAATAAGTAATCTCTATTTTAAAGGCCAAACAAGGCTACTTTGTGAAAAGGATAGTTTTATTTTAAAGTTAATTTTCTGGTCTTTTTAAAGCTACCCAGAATGGAATCCTGACAATGATACAGGACACACCATGTAAGTTAAAATTTTTAAGCTATTGTTTGTAAAGGAGATCAGTGTAAGGAATTCAGGTTAAACTTTGAAAATATTTTCTGAATTTTTAAAAAAGTAAATATGAGGGGAAACTCACTGTGAATGAAAAAAAAATTTTAAACTATTTTATGTAGTAATTTTTATTTTATTACTTTTAAGATTTTTCCCCTAGTTGCTTCACACACAAATGCCCCCAAAGATTGGAATCATAGTTATACAAGGAGTGTTTTAACAATAAATCTTAATTATTTCTGACAAATGTCTTTGTCATGTTCCTTATATATCGTCTTCACATTACTAGGGGTGACCCATTCATGTTGCAGCAATCTACAAACCCAGCACCAGGAATTTTGGGGCCTCCACCTCCCTCATTTCACCTTGGGGGACCAGCAGTTGGACCAAGAGGAAATTTGGGTGATTATAAAATTTATGTTGTTGTTCCCTAAGAGCTTTACTGTAGAAATAAATGGTGGTTATGGGCAAAAGAAGGATCATTAAACTGTTACTCAGAAATAACATTGCACAAAAAGACATGATACTCATGATATTTGTAATATCCTTTCAGTGTTTGAAAGTAGTTTTTCTATTGAAATCACCTGTTAGAGCAAGTATGTTTATTACAAGACTGAAAAAGGTAATTTTTTTTCCCCATAAAGGTGCTGGAAATGGGAACCTGCAAGGACCAAGGCACATGCAAAAAGGCAGAGTGGTCAGTAACACAGCTCTTGATTTTACTCTATTTGCTGTGATCACTGTATTTAGGAGTGATTTGACTTAAACCTTGCTGATTGAATCTATGTCATAGTCCTTACTATCAGAAAACTACTATAGTTTGAAGCCATTGGGCTTTTCTAGGACTTTGATGAGAGTTAAAACTTTCTTTTTTTTTTTTTTTTTTTTAATTTAAATTTATTTAATCTTTAGAAGGGAAAGAAAGGAGAGGCGAGAAATATCAATGGATGGTTGCTTCTGGTGCATCCCTTGCTGGGAACTGACCTGCAACCCAGGCATGTGCCCTGATGGGGAATAGAACTGCGATTGTCTGGTTCGCAGGCCCGCACTCAATCCACTGAGCTATGCCAGCCAGGGCTAAAACTTTCTTTTTTTAAAGATTGTACTTATTTTTAGATAGGGGAAGGGAGAAAACATCAATGTATGGTTGTGTTTCGTGCTCCCTTCTAGGGACCTGGCCTGCAACCCAGGCGTGTGCCCCCTAGACCAGTAATCAAACTGGTGACCCTCTGGTTCGCAGGCCAACACTCAATCCACTGAGCCATACCAACCAGAGCATAAAACTTGATTATACTTGCAGTTGAGAGATCCCACCTTGATTCAGGGTCTTAAGAACTTTGCTATCCAGTAGTGTTCACAGTATTTAATTTAAAAATCAGTGTAGAGACTGCTTTCTGAAATAATGAGATCTACGTTACCCCACTGACATTTGATTTTCTGTCCAGTTTTTCAATTCTCTAGAATGTTATATGAGTTGTCATTTTAAATAATCTATTCTAGTTAACATTAGACTAGACTTACTAAATTTGTAACACATAACTTGTCTCATTGCTTTTAAAGGGTTTTGTTGGCTTGATTTTTTTTTCCCCCTCTAATGCGTAGGAAACTAGCCGAGTTGTTCACATCATGGATTTTCAGCGAGGGAAAAACTTAAGATACCAATTACTACAGCTGGTGGAACCATTTGGAGTCATTTCAAATCATCTCATTTTAAATAAAATTAATGAGGTATGAGTTGAAATAAATGTAATATATATTCATCACTAATATATTTCCTAAACAGATTACATGGGTTTTGTATTAATAAAAGAACTCAGTGTGAACAAATGCAAGGAAAAATAACTTAATGTAACCTTAAATTATTCACATGGAATGAAGTAGAGGAAAAAAGCAGTGAAGTGTGTTGATACTGTGTTAAATAGGCTCTTTAAGTTAAATGACATAAAATGAAGCCATTTTTACCAAGAGCTAATTAGTATAGACAAGAGTTAAGTTCCTGTAGCATCTCAACAATGTTACAATGAAGCAATATTCAAGAACCTGTTGAAATATTAAGTTCTAGTACTAATCAATAATTAGTGAGTTTATAAATTGTGTTCCTTAAGCTGTAAATTGTCATTATTAAACTACTATAAGTTCTGTAAAAGGACGATTCTTTGGAAAGCCATTTCAAACTTTTACCAAAATTGTGCTAAATTGTATGTCAAGTCCAGTAGGCATAAGTGATAGTTTTAGTAGAATGAATAAAATCTGAGGTGGCCTTTAATAAAATACCAAGTCAGCAATGTTGGTATTTCTTATTTTAGATTCTTGAAAGTATTATTTAATGGTTAAATGTCTGTGGAAAGACTTTGAACAATAATTGTTTGAAATAGTTTTGTGTCTGGGTGTTTACAATTTCAGGCATTTATTGAAATGGCAACCACAGAAGATGCTCAGGCTGCAGTGGATTATTATACAACAACACCAGCATTAGTGTTCGGCAAGCCAGTGAGAGTTCATTTATCCCAGAAGTACAAAAGAATAAAGGTAATTTGTATTGCCAGTCATGTATTAATATCATTTTAATAATTAGCTGCTTTAAATTACTGCTAATAACTAGGATAATATTAAGTATTAGCTAACAGTTACTGCATCCATACCAACATTTGACATTACCTTTTTTCCTGTTTATTAAATTAAAGAAACCTGAAGGGAAGCCAGACCAGAAGTTTGATCAAAAGCAAGAGCTTGGACGTGTGATACATCTCAGCAACTTACCTCATTCTGGCTATTCTGACAGTGCTGTCCTTAAGCTTGCTGAGCCTTATGGGAAGATAAAGAATTATATACTGATGAGAATGAAAAGTCAGGTAATACTCTGTGTAGAGATTTTAAAAAACATTTATTTCTTAAATTTTTTTATATAGCCTCATTTTTAATAAAGCAAGGAGAAATAATTTTCTTTATCATCTCATAAAGATGGTAAATTTCCTTTTCCAAACAATGATAAATGATTTTATTTATTTTTAGAGAGCGAAACATCAGTGTGGAATTGCCTCTCAAGCGTTCCCTACTGGGGATCTGGTCTAAAATCCAGGCATGTGCCCTGACCCAGGAATGAATAGAGCGAACTACCCTTTGGTTTGCAGTCTGGCATCTAATCCACTTAGCCACCCTCCCACCCCCCCACACGCACACACATTGTGCTAGAAGCTAAGAGTAAAGCATTGAATAAATACCAAAGAGTATAGTGGAAAGTAAAGCTCTCTTGTTCAGCCTAGTAACTTTATTTGTTTCCACGGTTTGCTTCCAAAAATCTGTGTGTGTGTATAGATGGTTCTTTATCTCTCTCTCCCTGTGTCTGTCTGTCTCTCTCTCTTTTTCTGTTTCTCAATTTTATTTATTTATTCTCTGAGAGGGAGGGAGTAAGAAAGAGTAGTGTAGGGGGCATCGTTTGGTTGCCTCTTGTAGGTATCCTGACCAGGACTAAATTCACAACCCAGGAATGAGCCCTGGCTGGGAATAAAACAGACAAACTTTTGCTTTGCAGGATCATGTCTAGACAGATGAGCCACACTGGTCAGGACAGATGCTTGTGCATGTTCTTGCTCTCACGCGTGCGCTCTCTTTTTTTTTACTTCAACCGGGATTATACTGTTGTTTTCCACATTGCACATGATTTTTTAAAAAATTTGGTTTGCTCATTTGTTTGTTCAGCTGATACTTACTGGTGCACCATCTGATACTTACTTTCCTTAACAATGTTCTGAGGTTATATCCTTTCAGACATTTTTATTAATTTTTTGTTTTTTATTACAGTATTTTAAGTAATATGTTCTAAGCTTATCAATTTAATTGCTTTTTGCAAAAAGCCTTCAAATACATGGTTTAATATTTGCTCTACTTTATAAATCTAAGTTGTCCTTATTTTATTGGGTGACTTTTAACTCTTACCAATGGCGGTGCTAAAGATAAAAATTTCCCAACAAGTGGATGGGAAGAATAATAAGCACTAGAGTTCTACACAATTCCTTGAGAAATAATGTTCTTTCTTATTTTTTTAAGGCCTTTATTGAGATGGAGACCAGAGAAGATGCTATGGCAATGGTCGACCACTGTTTGAAAAAGGCCCTTTGGTTTCAAGGGAGATGTGTGAAAGTTGACCTTTCTGAAAAATATAAAAAATTGGTACTGAGGGTATGTAGTTCTTGGTTTGTAATTATTAAGAATATAGGGTTTGGTTATTGAAAGAGCTACCTCTTCTCCTTTTTCAGTATTCTTCAGTAGCAAAAGGTTTTATTTGTTTTTTTGTGGTTTTTGTTTGTTTGTTTTAGATTTATTTATTTATTTATCTTTAGAGGGGAAGGGAAGGAGAGAGGGAGAGAAACATCAATATATGGTTGCCTTTCGTATGTCCCCTGCTGGGAACTGGCCTGTAGGGAACCGGCCTGCAACCCAGTGCATGTGCCCTGACTGGGAATTGAACCATGATTGTCTGGTTCACAGGCCCTCGCTCAATCCACTGAGCTACACCAGCCAGGGCACAAGTTTTATCTAGTGTTCTATAAAAGCACTTTTATTATTTTTACCTATTTATTGTATTTTAGATATTATTTGAATATTTCTGCTACCAAGATATTTTATTATCTACTGCTTTATTGAAATGTTATTTGTAATGAACTGCTGACTGTAGGTAGCTTAAATTCTTGGGTATATTTATAGGAATTGAATAAGCTTGATTATATGATGGATGGCTATCAATTAGTTAATGAGATATAATTATCTATTCTGCAAATGAACATTTTAATTTATTAACTTAACTAATGCAATATTTTGTCTTTTAGATTCCTAACAGAGGCATCGACTTACTGAAAAAAGATAAATCTCGGTAATTTCATTGTGTTTCTGTATGTAAATAGTACTGTATTAAACTTTTGTTTTCCAACTCAGAATTAATTGAGATGTACCTTCTTGATTTCAGAAAAAGGTCTTACTCTCCAGACGGCAAAGAATCTCCAAGTGATAAGAAATCCAAAACTGATGGTTCCCAGAAGACTGAAAATACAACTGAAGGTAAAGAACAAGAAGAGAAATCAGGTGAAGATGGTGAAAAAGACACAAAAGATGACCAGGCAGAACAAGAACCTAGTATGCTTCTTGAATCTGAAGATGAGCTACTTGTGGATGAAGATGAAGCAGCAGCACTGCTAGAAAGTGGCAGTTCAGTGGGAGATGAGACAGATCTTGCTAATTTAGGTGATGTGACTTCTGATGGGAAAAAGGAACCTTCGGACAAAGCTGTGAAAAAAGATGGAAGTGTGAGTGCTTCGGCTGCAAAGAAAAAGCTTAAAAAGGTAAAGAAGATTGTACATTGACCTGTTCTAACAGAAAACTAGATCAGTGTTTCAAATTATTTACCCTGGTAGGATCAGATTAAAGAGAATTAGTCATTTATGTTAGAAAAAAATCAGATATGAACAATAATACAAGCATTTAAGTCTAAACTCTGCAATAAGTAGATTAAATGGTACCTCTTATAGTTGCCTAAAAATGCCAACTCACAAAGAGAACTTTTTAGTAATGGAGACTTTTACTCTATTATAGTAGTAGTATGTAAGTACTTACCGGCAGCTATATAGTTCACGCTGTTTGTTTTTTTTTTTAAATGGGGTGTGAGTTTGCACTAAGTTAACTAACCAAAGATACTTCAAACATTTTTCCACTCATCTAAAAATTGTCGAAGACTTTATATTTGAGAAACATGAGCTTGATCATATAGTACAAAAACTTTTTTTAAGCAGTCTTTTTTTAATCCTCACCTAGGATATGTTTATTGAATTTAGAGAGATAGAAAGGGAGAACAGGAGAAACATCGATTGCCTCCTGTATGTACCCTGACCTGGGATTGAACCCACCACCTTTTAGTATGCAGGATGATGCTCCAACCAACTGAGCCACCTGTCCAGGGCAGACACTTGAATAACTTATTTTTCTTAGACTAGGTCACAAATAAGAGCATATCAGGTGTGAATATAAAAATATATACATGATGCAAAGAACAGTAAAGACCTATGTTATATTAATGACCTACATTAAGGAATCAAGCATTAAAATGCCTTTGAAGCCCCTTATGTTAAATGGCTCTTGAAATGAGATTTTTGTAATTCTAGTTTATTAGTTTCTTCTAAACAACATTCAACTGTTGTAAAGTTAATTTTTACCTCCAGATTGTCAAGAGCTTGGGATTATTGAGCATTTATTGCATGCTATAAGTTTTTCTAAACTCTTTGTATACGTTAACTTAATCTTAACAGTAACCAAGTGCAATAGATGTCTTTGTTATCCATATCTTATGAATGAGGAAATTGAGGCATGGAGAAGTTTTATAAATAGTAAATTGTCCATCATCATATTGCTTGTAAGTAACCAGGCCAAAATTTAAATCTAGGTGGGTCATGCTCCAGAGCTTGTTTTTTTGTTTGTTTGTTTGTTTGTTTGTTCATTTGTTTGTTTGTTTGTTTTAATCTACTGCAGGGTTTTAGAATGAGTATTCTCTAAACATCAGTGGTATCATAAGATACTGCCTTCCAAAGGACATCATTCAATTATTTATAACTAATCAGGTTATATTTCCTATTAGTATAAAAGTCTCAAAGTGTAGATTATGAATGCCCTTGTTTATTTTGTAAGGCAAGCCTTACAAAGTCTTGTGTGTAAGTCTTTGTGTAAGGCAAGCCTTCAGTTTAGCTTTAGAAAAAGCTAAGTTTTTTATTTTTTAATTTTTTTTAATCATGAATGATTTGTGGGGGAAAGGAAGGTCAGTATTTTGAGAGAATGCCTACAGACAAAGACGCTATCCCTTCAAGTAAAGCAAATGGAAGGGATGCTGCAGGACAATTGCTGCAGAGTAAATTTGTCTTTCTTAACAGCGTCGTTTCCCAGGGAATATGGAAGGTTTTGTCACTCTAGATGAGGTTGGTGATGAGGAAGATTCGGAACTTCAGAAACTTCGTAAATCGGGCATGGCATTTAAATCTGGTGACAAAAATGATGATGGTTTGGTTGAAATTAAGGTGGACAAGATGGAGGAACTTGATCAAGAAAACGAAGCAGCGTTGGAAAATGGAATTAAAAATGAGGAAAATGCAGAACCAGGTGCTGAATCTGCTGAGAATGCTGATGATCCCAACAAAGACGCAAGTGAAAATGCAGATGGCCAAAGTGATGAAAACAAGGAAGACTATACAATCCCAGATGAGTATAGAATTGGACCATATCAGCCCAATGTTCCTGTTGGTGAGATTTAAGGCTTTGTTCTTCCCCTCTCACCCTCCCCAAACTCTTACATGATATTAAAATTGGTCTTACATAAGCTCTGATAACATTTTACGTTTATTTCTGTACAGAACAATTTGTAATTCTTGGTACATTCTCTTTTCTTCCTCAAGTCACCTTATTTTGTATTATCTTTTGTTAACCTTACACGGTATGGACTCTTCTCAAAGCTTTCTGAGAATTTCACCTTGTTTTTGTTTTGTTTACTTGTTATATTTGTGCCTTTCTAAGAGTACTATTAGGTGGAACCTTGAACATCAATTAAATACAACTCACTAATGTCATGTTTTTTGTTGGATTTTTTTTAGCTTAGGTTATATTGGACTTCTCACAAAAAAAATTTTTTTTTTTTTTTTTTTTTTTTTTTTGAGAACACTAATACTCAGTTTACTGAATTTGTAAGAATGTATGTTTGTGTTCTAGGTATAGACTATGTGATACCTAAAACAGGGTTTTACTGTAAGCTGTGTTCACTCTTTTATACAAATGAAGAAGTTGCAAAGAATACTCATTGCAGCAGCCTCCCTCATTATCAGAAATTAAAGGTAAGGCTAAATCTTACTTTGTTAAAACAAACAAATCATACAGGTTTATGGAAAATAAAATGTGTATAGTACCTTCTGTGGACCCAGAGACAACAGTTTTCTGTTTTTATTGACAGGCCTTAAGTAGTTTTAATTAATTCTGGAAACATTTATTCAGATTCTTTTTATAATAACACTGATTCAATGATAATAATTTGTAATTTTTTGACTATGTCATAAGTTAAAGTTATTTTTAGTGTTCTCAAGTGGGTACTGGACTATAATTTGTCTAATTTGGAAAATACTGGATGCCAGAAGACCAATAGGCATAATATGAAGCTGAATAATAATTTCAGTTTTATAAAGTGTTATGTGCTGTCATACTTAATGTTTACACAGACTTTAAATTACTATTGAAATAACTATTTATTAATAATGATAGTCTTCAGAAACATACGGCCAATAGATATGAGGCTAATGGGATAAATTAGTAAAGCACAAAAGACTAAAGACATTTCTATGTCAATAATTTAAAATTTGGTAATCTAGTGGCTTCTTTAAGGACTGAGGATTGAAATAGATGATGAGAAAACAACTAAGAAAGAACTGAACTCATAATTGTAGATAATTTGTTCATTTACACTGCTTTATAATATAAAACTACAAAAGTAGTCATGAAACACGTTCTGTGAGTTCACTAGATGGAGATTATGAATTAAGGAAATAATCTAGTTCTTATCTATATTACTTGTTTTAGATATATATTCTTTGGTGTCTTCATGCACCTTATCATCGTGAATATGTAAAAAGAATGATGGTAAGCCCTGGCTGGTATAGCTCAGTGGATTGAGCGTGGGCCTGGGAACCAAGCAACCACGGTTCAGTTCCCAGAAGGGGACACACAAGAGGCAACCATACATTGATATTTCTCTCCCTCTCTCCTTCCTTTCCCCTCTAAAGATAAATAAATAAAATCTTTAAAAAAAAAAAAAAGAATGATGGTTATTTTCATTAGTATTAGTAGAAGCAATTTCATATTTTATCTGACTCGATACTAAGCTTTTCAGTGGCAGAAACTATATGTATTAGAGATGCATAAATGGTCTCTGGGTGCTTGATACTTTAAAAAGAATATCATGCTTTCTGATATTTTCTAGATATACTTTAGGAGGTGGCTCTTATTTCCTGTTTTAAAAGAGCTTTGTAGACTTTATTCAAGAATTATTAAGTAATATCTTGCTAATAAATTATTTGATACTTTACTAACAGCCTTATTTTTACCTTTTTAAAAAACTTTTTAAGGCAAAATGGCTTCTAATTCTTACCAGTTTCTACTAACTGTACAGTTGATGAATTTCGGCCAAAAGTAAAGAAGCTTTTGATGTTTTAGGTTATGTTTTTTGTTTTGTTTTGTTTTTTTGTTTATTTGCTTTTTTTACGATTTTATTTTGAGAGAGAAAGGAAGGGAGGAAGGAAGAAAGAAAGGGAGAGAAACATCAATGTGTGAGAGATAACATTGATCAATTACTTGCCTTTTCACACACCCCCAACTGGGGACCAGGCCTGCATTCCAGGCACTTACCCTTACTGGGAATGCATCCAGTGACCTTTCATTTCGCAGGCCGGCACTCAGTCCACTGAGCCACACCAGCCAGGACAATACTATTTATAGTTTTTGTACTTTCATTAATGTCTTGACCAATCTCTGATGTTGGGACCTCTAGAAATTACAGGTCTAATACGGGGATCTGCAAGCTACACTTTCAGCCTAGCCACCATTTTTTATAAAGTTTTCTTGGGATATAGCTACTACCATTCATTAAGTATTGTTTATGGCCACTTATATTACTATAATGGCAGAATTGAATAGTTGAGACAAAGACCAAGTGGCCCACAAACCTAAAAAATTTACTGCTGACCCTTTAAGAAAATGTTGCCCACTTGGTTTAGTAGGAGAAGCGAGCATTGAATAAATTCATGTCATTTTAACTAATCTATATTCCTGAAGTAGTAGCAATTCTACTTTGTGGCTATGGTCTTATTTTTCTCATCTTTATGTTAGTGTTAATTGCACATTGAAAGAATTGTTTTTCACATTGTACCATTTTTTTTCTTCCCATTCCCCATTGTGTCCTGAACCAGACTAGTTTTATACACTGTAATGGGAATAACTGAGTCTTTAAAATAGTGATAAGATTATAGGCTAAATTATACTCCAATCTCAAAGTTGGATAGACTTTTATTTTGGCATTAATTCATTTGTGTTTTTCTTAAGTGACTCAATCCCTATAATTTTTTTCTTTACAGAAATTTCTGAATAAATTGGCAGAAGAACGCAGACAGAAGAAGGAAACTTAAGATGTGCAAGAAACTTAAAGATTTCAAAGGAAATAATGGTTCTTTGTTTTTAATGTTAACCTTTTTTAAATACAATACTGGTAGTTAGAAGAAAACTATTGTACTCTTTTTGTTTTAGTGGAAAAATAATAGATGTCTGTTCATGTGTTAGGTGTTATAGCAAAAACATACGGTTAAGTTAAGAATTGTTTTTGTTTTATCAGAATGGTAACAGACAAGTACTTTATAGAGACTGACTTCATAATCTACTTAAGACAACTTGCACCACTAAGAAAAAGATACATAGAACTATTCAAAGAAATGAAATTTAGTAGTTCTAAGCTTCAAAGAAATGTCAAAACTTTTGATTCCATTCAATAAAGAACAAAACCAGTTGTATTTTTATTACTTTCATCTGAAACATTCCACATTTCAATCTGAGCCTTGCAGACTTTTCATTTTGAGCTTGAAGTTTTTTTTATTGCTTTTCATTTTTGGAGAACTTCATTAACTGAGAGTAGCAATTTAAATACAGGTGCAGTTTTCTTTTAATGTTACACTGTTGTTTAGCTAATAAGAAATATTAAGTAATTGGCTTTAGATTTTGTAATTTTTTTCCCCTAAGTTTCTGCTAGATTTCGTATTCTAGTAGTCAATGTATTTTTGGTGAAATGTAAAAAAATTTCCCATTCTCTTTGACCAGTATTAATTTTTTGAGACCTTATTGCTTGTCACTTGAATCCTGTAGCTATCATACATCTGGTATAAGCAACATATGATTCTTGAAGTGTGTAGACCATCTTTTCATATTTTCAAGATGTAATTTTACACTTAAGCATTTTAAAAAGTTTGGCTATAATCTAGACGCACGCTTCTAATCCATATACCTGCACATGTGACCTTTGTGAACAGAAATTTGCATGTATAATCTGTGTTTACTTGTAACTTTCTGGTTATATACTGCTTATATCTGTGGATTCAAGTTTCTGAAGTGAATACAATAAAAACTTAGGTCATGTTCATTGGTTATACATGTTTGGAATGTTAACCAATATATTTGTCACTTGTGGTTTTTATTCACTGCTACACTTTTTTGCATGCTTTAACAAATTATTACATTTTTAATCTAGAGTGTTCTAAAGCGTGCTACTAAAGATCTGAGTTTTAAAGTTTGGGGTGCTGGTGGATTTCTTGTTCCTGTTATTTAACAAAATGAGGCTGTTCATGGTTTTGTAAAACCTTGGGAGTTAAATTCTAAGGATGAAGAAATAGCAAACACTGAAGTTTAGACATGTTTCAGTATTTAATAGAAAGATTAGAAATAACATGGAATAATTTACACCAAAAACTAAGAGATAGTTGCAACAGCCTTTTTAATATATGTTGGGTTTCTTGGTATAACATCTGTGTACAATTTTTTTTAATCTTACTCATTTTTAGAGAGGAAGGGAGAGAAACGTCGGGGTGAGAGAGAAACATTGTTTGCCCTACAAGCCCCAGTGGGGCACCGAATTCACAACCCAGGCTTGTGCCCTCACCAGAAATCAAACCAGTGACCTTTCAGTGCACGGGCCAACACTTGACTGACTCAGCCACACCCAGCCACGGCTATAGGAATTCTTTTTGAAATGTCGAAGTGTATTAAAGGAAATGTTAAATGGTTGTATAAAATTTTAAGGTCTACCTCTGAAGGTTTTAGGTGATAATTTTTAAATGTAACATGCACAAAAAATCCTTGCCAGTTTACTTCTGCAGTTTAATTTTCGTCTTTACTAATTACCTACTTTAGTTCAATTTCAACTAACAGCAACAACACAGAGCTTTATGTGTACAGTGGCATTCCTAATTGTTTCTTGTCTGTGATAGCTTTTTTCTCATAGGTCCTACTTGTCAAAGTACCAAGTTATAGAAAATGTTTAATATCTGCATTTGAGGGCATTTAAAAAGCAGAAAGTCTCAAACTGCTAGTGATAAATAAAACCGTAACAACTATTTCCCAGATTATGGCAAACCTTTAATTGGTAGGAATGTTTCTACTTAACCCTACTGTAAAGTTTTTATTATTTTTTTTTATTAAAGATTTTATTTATTTTTAGAGAGGGTAAGGGAGAGAGAAAAAAGGAGACAAACCTTGATGTGAAAGAGAATATGGATCAGTTGCCTCTCACACATCCCCAAGGTGGGGACCTAGCCTGCAACTGGGAATCAAACTGATGACCTTTCACTTCACATCCAGGGCTGCTGTAGAGTTTAAGAATGTTTTCCACCTCCATTTTAGCCTTTTGTTTAATCTTAATCCTGTTGAGGGAAGTTTAGAAACACCTATTAGGTATTATGGAAAGTATTAAGGTTGTGAAGCATAAGCGAGCACATAGTTTTTACCTGGCTTTGTTCAGGATGGATTTTCAGTGTCTCGAAACAGTAAAATAAACAGGCTCATGGTGTGAGGTAGAGATCTGCTGGCACACAGCAAAACATTCTTTAAAAATCAGATTAGTTTAAAAATGGTGGTGTCGATTGGCTATTTAAGATGATTTATAGTAGTGCTCAAAGCAGCTCTGTATTCCTTAAAATAGGACTTAGCATAGCTCAGAGTTCAGATGTTGAATGGTAATAAGTTTGAGACTGTAGTGCCTGAGACTGTAGTTCCAAGAAAAGGAACCCGACCTTTTGTTGAGCTGGGGTTAAAGTGTGCCTTCACTTTGATTCCTTTCCTATGAACAACAAGGGTAAGGCTGAGATATTGTTCCTTTATACTAGTGGTTCTCAAATGTTAGCAAGTGTCAAAATTACACGGAGGCTCCTTTGAAACGTTGGGCCCTGCATGTAGAATTTCTGGTGCGTTAGGCTTCAGGCAGGTCTTTATATATATATTTGTTTATTTATTTATTTTTATCTTTAGAGGGGAAGGGAAGGAGAGAGGGAGAGAACTATCAATGTATGGTTACCCCCCGTGTGTCCCCTGCTGGGTGGGAACTAGCCTGCAACCCAGGCATGTGCCCTGACTGGGAATTGAACCGTGGTTGCTTGGTTCCCAGGCCCACGCTCAATCCACTGAGCTACGCCAGCCAGGGCTCAGGTCTTAATTTGCATTTTTAACAAGTTAATGGGTAGTAGTGGTGGCATCAAAGATAGAGGCCACACTTAAGAGGAAATTGGTTTACCTGTAGTTGAAGTTTTTTGCTAGGCTATTGCAATCAGATATCTGGCTTATATATTATTGAAGTAACTGGTTTTGCTACTTTTCCAAATCTAAAACTAGGAAACAAAAATAAAACAGTTTGGGGGCCTGGGCAAAGCATTTCTTTTAAAATGACCCATTTTAGAACCCTAGGTACTTCTTTTCCAAGTCTATCCTTTATTTTTTGCTTGGGATATTTGAAAAGTCGTAATTTTCTGAGAACGTGGCACAGTTAGACATTTCGAGAAAGGAGCAGATACATGAAGTCTTGGGAATTCGCAGTTTTGCTTGACAAGAGGTTTTTTTCCTTTTCTGTCATACCACTCCTAATCACAATGTAAGAGCTAAGGGAAAGGTATGGTAACGGTTGAAGTTTTTAGTAAATACTAAGAAGGATATAACTACCTCTCATCACTCAGATACAGTTAATTTGCTGATTGATACTGGCTAGGGCTTGATTAAAGCTCTAGCTTTAATCAGAAGTACTGTCACTTCTGTCAGTCTGAGTTGAATCAAGTAGCTTGAGGCTGTGCTTGGACTTCTGACAGTCGGGCTCCATCCATCAGCATTCTGGAAATATCCCCCACTGCTCCCGGCTCTTGTGGGCCTAGATTTGCCAGTGCTGTGGCCTGGCCAGGAGCCACTTTTTTCAGTGGGTACCTTGACAGGTACATGGAAAGAAGCTCAAGCAGAAGTCAGGCGCAGGTTGAGTTGGGATTCTATGTGTGGAAGGACCCAGGGCTTTGAGGTTGATGGTCCTCAGGTCATCAAACAATTGGGAGTAATTAAAAACCAAAAGAAAAATTACAGTTGCTAGACACTGAACTCCTAAGTGCTTCTTGCATACAATCTGGTGGTTATTGGGTCCCATGTGTCCCAGTCTCTGGGGAGTTCTTTCAGGGAATAGTGTAGTACTTCAGAGGTAATTAATGGTAATTCAAATGCTCTCTTGAGTACTACTGGGGAGGAAGAATGTTCTTTGTGCTGTGTATGAATTTTAGAAACCACATTTCAACTTTCCAGTGGTGGTTCCCCAAAACTCCCTCATGTACCATCTCAGTAGTAAATTATCTCTGAAAATCTGCATGGCTCATTTCCCTCCCTCCAGATTAAATGCAGATTTCCTTTAAAAGATGTGTATTGGACAAATGTTTGAAGATACAGATATACCAATTACTTGAGATAGGAAAATTTAGTGTAAGTGAGGCTGAAACTTGATACCTCTTAATTCATTTCCCCAATGCTGGCTACTTCCGCTCACAAGCACCAAGTGTGTCTCCAACTCATTTTAAGCAGCTGTCAAGCTGCACAAAACAAGCAGCAGGAAGGGGCCTGGCTCAGGCTGGAGAAGAGGAATTGCCCATGCCCTCCTGTATTCCATGCATGCAGGTACACATCATTCTGCTAAAACCTTTACCTATTAAATAAAACTTGGGTTTTATCCTATTTTTAACTGGTAATATCACATGGTATGGCCATCACCATCCCTGTAACTTCATCTTGTAATACAAACTATAACCATTAAACAACTTTTCCAGCCCTTCACAAGTATAATTTTTCTATAATTTTGACTACCTCATGTAGGTAGAATGAAAGTATTTGTCTTTTGTGACTTCACTTAATGTGATTTAAGTCACATTGCAGAATTACTTTCTTAAAGGCTGAATAATACTCCACTCTGTGTATGAAGTCTGTCCAGAAGGTATCCAGCCAAGTAATAATGACATTTATTGGAGTAGATACAAGAAACGTACATAAGACAATGATGCTTTCCCTCAATCCCCTTCCCAGTAGGCACCTTGGTACCTCCACAGTTTTCCCAATTGCCATCAGCTACCCCATCATATTTTCCTGAATCTTACTAATGGTCTGAAATCTCTTCCCTTCCAGAGGTGATTTTGGTTTGGGGAAAAGCAGAATTTGCAGGGTGCTGAATCAACTGCAGGGTGGCTGAGTCACCTGGGTGATATTCCACTGAAGTGTGCTGGAGACTATGTGAATGGGATCCTTGTCATGATGAAGCTGCCAATCAATCACCAGTTACCCATAGCTGTGGCTCTTTAAGTCATCCAAGTAGTTTCCACAGAGGAATGCTCAAGCTTAATGCAAAATTTGATGCAGATTTGTTGCTCTACTGTTATTGTGAATGTGATAGCCACACAGTATACATGCTCACTCAATGTGTCTAATGCCACCACTGACTAGTACAGTGAAATCTAAAGTC